TCTCTTGAGAAACATGTATAAGGGTCAAGAAGCAACAGTTAGAACCGGATATGGAACAACTGATTGGTTCAGCATAGGAAAAGGAGTACGACAAGGATATATATTGTCACCTTGCTTATTTAATATATATGCAGAGTACATCAACAGAAAGTGAAGAGGACCTAAAGAGCCTCTTGCTCAGGATAAAAGAGGAGAGCGCAAAAGTGGGCTTGAAGCTCAACACATCCGCCCCCATCTCTCCTTGGCAAATAGAAGGGGAAGTCGTGGAAGTAGTGACAGACTTCACGTTCTTGGGATCCCAGATCACCGCAGACTGTGACAGTAGCCATGAAATTAAAAGACGCCTGCTCCTTGGGAGGAAAGACTTGCTCAGAATAAAACAGGAGAGCACAAAAGTTGGCTTGAAACTCAACATCAGAAAACTAAGACCATAGCATCTGGCCCCATCTCTCCTTGGCAAATAGAAGGGGAAGTCGTGGAAGTAGTGACAGACTTCACGTTCTTGGGATCCCAGATCACCGCAGACTGTGACAGTAGCCATGAAATTAAAAGACGCCTGCTCCTTGGGAGGAAAGCGATGGCGAACCTAAACAGCATGATAAAAAGTAGAGACATCACCCTGCCAACAAAAGTCCGCATGGTCAAAGCAATGGTATTCCCAGTAGTCATGTATGGCTGCGAGAGCTGGACTATAAGGAAGGCCGAGCGCCGAAGAATAGATGCTTTCTTTTGAACTATGGTGCTGGAGAAGCCTCATGAGAGTCCCTTGGACTGCAAGAAGATCAAATCAGTCAATCCTAAAATGACTGTTCCCTGGAAGGCTAGATAATGAAACTGAAGCACAAATACTTTGGCCACCAAATGAGAAGGGAGCACTCACTGGAGAAGACCCTGATGCTGGGAAAGATTGAAGGTCAAAGAAGACGGGGACGGCAAAGGATGAGATGGTTAGACAGTGTCATAGATGCAACGAACATGAAATTGAGCAAACTTCAGAGGACGGCAGAAGACAGGAAGGCCTGGCGTGATCTGGTCCATGGGGTCACGAAGAGTCGGACTCAACTGTGCGACTGAAGAACAACAAAAAAGATGCTGTGACTGTTTCGTAGCTGGATATGGTTTAGTCTTCTCAGAAAAGTTTATACTGCAAGCTTGTTTACACAGGCTGTGTTTAATTCATGGAAATAAGGTGGGATATAAATATTTTAAATAATCAAAAAGGAAAAAAAGGTTTTCCTCAAGTGTCTTATGTGAAAGTGGATTATGGATAATGTGATGAAATGCACCCCCGCCTTCAGGGATGGGTAGCAACTAGAGACAGGGCATTTTCTTTTTTCTTTTATTTTCTCGAAAAAAGTGAAATACAAAAGGGAAGAGGGGGTAGGGGAAAATATAGATTCATCAAGTTTATAAAATATGAGTTTTACATACTACAAGTAAAATCAAATGTATTATCTGATGTATTACATATTTCAAATATAGAAGCAGACAATAAAACATCAATATTACAGTGTTTTGTGATTGTCTCTTTAAATAGAGACAGGATATTTTCAGTGGTGGCACCTCACCTTTCGAGAGCTCTCCCTGTTGAGGCCCTGTTTACCTGGCACCTACCTTACTGTCCTTTAGGCCCCAGGCCAAACTATTTCTCTTTACCCATGGTTTTATCTCTTTTAGCTGATCTATGGTCTGCTTCAAGCTTGATGACTGTCTTGTCAATGTCATAGACTGCCCTATTTGTTTTATGTTGCTTTTATGCCCTGGCATGTTTTTATTGCCTTGTTATTTCTTATTGACTCATTTTATTGGCTTGTTTGATTTGTATTGTTTTAGTTGTCTGTTACCTCCAGTGGTTCTGGATAGGTAGCATACCGATTCTCTAAACAGATTTATAAAATACTGCTTTAATCATTTTTATCATATTAATAATCATAATAAATAATTTATCCTAATAATAATTAATTTAAAGCAATTAAAATGCTATCACCAGCATTAAGCATACTTAACTTTAAATTGGACTGTGATCATTGACGCTTATTTTTTAAAAAAAACAAGCAAACCCCAACTGTAGATTCAACTAGTAATTTTTTTCTATAGGTGTTTATACAAAGAACAGAAATTTCCGACTGTACAAATCATCAAAAGCAGGAAACGGTGTCATTTTAGACATTGCTAAAGATAACAAGTTTGTTCCTGAAACTGTAAAGAATACTTCTATAGAAGAGCAGTATTTCCTTTCCTCGTTGGTCTGTAATGTGAGGTAACAACTATGATTCTCTGCTGAAATTCTAAATTATTTTCCTAAAATACATTTAATGAGTGTGTACATTGTTTCACTTGAAACATTAATGAATTATCAAATGTATGCCAGTTCTTTTCTGACTATTCAGAATCTGAAAGGATAGGGGGTAAATCTGCATACACAGTGAGCTTGTTCATGCATAGGGACTGACTCCATGATGGACAGGCAGGGTCAGAGGGGGGGGGAATGTTTATTTATTATTTATTTGTTTGATTTGTATCCTGCCCTCCCTGCCAAGGCATGCTCAGGGCGGCTTACATAAAATATATTGAACAACTAAAACACAAAATTCAATAAAACCACAACAAAAGGACTATAAAACATAGCATAAAATGCTAGTGCAGCTTAGTAAGCAGTGGTGGACATTATATAGCATCCAACATTAACCCATAATCGGCTAATATCATAGTCTGGACAGGATGTTAATAGTGATGTTAATACTGATGTTGGTATTGGGGCTCAGGCCTCAATTTATTGATGGCGGCTCCCTAATCAAAGGCCTGGTGGAAGAGTTCCATCTTGCAGGCCCTGTGAAAGAGTAAAAGGGTCCTGCAGGGCCTCATTCCATCAGTGTGGAGCCGACACTGAAAAGGCTCTGGCCCTCATCACAGCCAGCCTGGCTTCTCTAGGACCTGGGAGGGCCAGACAATTGTTGCTCTGCCCCTCTTCTCCTCCATGAAAGTTAATGCAGGTCTGTGCTGCAGAATCTTCTTTTTCTGAGTGATGATGTACTTCTCAAAACACTCAGAGGAAACTTTGCAAGTCAAATTAATGGGTTATTTTTATGTGTGGCTATAGTATGGGAAGAAAATATGACATACTACCAAAGAACAGTGGCTGGGAAAAGAAATTTGCATCCAGCAAATCCCTGTGTCTCATCCCTTTTGTGTTTCTTGTCCTTTTGATCAGATTTTCAAATTGTTTAAAAATTCTATCCTGTGACAATCTAGAAAAGACAAAAGAAAAGTCTGTTTGTTTAGATGGCAGCCTTTCCAGAAGCAGCTCAGGTAATCACACTAAATTCATGTTGAATACAAATTTTAGTTTTAAAAATAACTTTCTGGTCTTGATTTTTTTTTAATTTTAGCATATATGAGTGGATTGTGAACCTTACAGAGATATGCTTGTGGCCAGGTGCCTCTTATCGATTTTATCATTTTGTACAGAAACTAACAAGCTTCTGACAGGCAACTGATGTAAAGACTATGTTGCACATGGGAGGAAGAAAAGTATGATTTTATGATGTTACTGATAAGTGGCAACAAAGAGCAAAAGTCTTTGAGAATTGGACTTTCTTGAAAGAAGAACAGACCAACTTACAAAAGGGATTGCTTGTATACCACAGTTATGCTTGTGCAGTATAATTATGACGTGTCTGACAATGATCACAACAGAATGAGCTCAGACAAGCTCCCATAATTTTAGAAATGGTTTGTTTTATATAATACAAACAGAATTGACTGTTAGTACTCTTTGCATCCCTTTTTTATAGTCCCCATTGGAGGATGCCAAAGTTCGCCCTATCCAGAAATTGATAACTTCATTGTGTCTTTAGTCAGTAAAGATAACATTCAAGGAGGTAAGAAATATTATTGTGTGCATCCAAAATAAAGAGGTGCTTTTTAAAGGTCATGTATAGTTGCTTGGAAAATCAAGTGTTCCTTTTTCCAGGGATACGACAATGGAATTATTTTTCTCTTGAAGAGCTTCTTGTGTATGACATCTCTAAGTATCGCTGGTGTAGAAATATTGGCAGAGCTCACAGAAGTAACAATATAATGTATGTACCATTATCCTTCTAAAAATATTGTTTTGGCAGAATGGCTTTAAGAAATAAATCACAAAACATTAGATTTTTGTTTTGCATGGATCCAGTAGGATATAATTTTATATTGCATATGAGAAAATAGCATTTTGGTTAGTGTAATTCTCTCTTCAACATTGTAACATGCGCTTTCCAAGTACAGTATCAAACTAATATGCCACAAAAGAATGTTAGCAAATGTATTAAAATCTTTTAAAATTGTATATCTAAAGTATGTTCCAGTGAATTAACCTCATCCCCCCACCCTTCTCCAACATATCCAAGGAAGAATGGATTTTTTTTTTGCAAGAGGGAGCTGGGTTTGCTGATGGCATTAATCACTTGTTTGGCAGTTGTAGGTAGAAGAAAAGCATCAGGACTGATACTGGTTTTCAGTTGTTTTGTACTGAAGAAAAATATTTAGATCAAATTGTACAGTCTAGTACTACTATTATTTGCAGTCATGAGACCTCTCCCAAGGACTGCTACCACAGACTAAATCTAACAATTTCACCTGTACTTCCAGGATTATAGTAGATCTGAAAAGGGAGATCTGGTATCAAAAATGTCATGATCCTGTTTGCAGAGCGGAAAACTTCAAGTCAGAATGTGAGTACCTTTGTATAACCTACAGTAATGTATTTATTCATTTTATAACATAAGTAATGTAAATTCTCTTGCATTTGTGATAGGTTTTCCATTACCATCAAACATATGCCTTCCATTCCTGTTCAAAGAGGTATGTTTTTCTCATTTAACAAATTTTAAACATACTGTGGGTGCAGTCAGACAGTGTGCTGAGAGTGGGTTAAACTGCTCCGGTTCTAACTGGATTATATTTGATCTGGATAATCGCGATCACACTTACCTCCCTTATCCAGCCTCACCGTGCAGTCACATCGGTCCCCGGCGTCTATACTACCGCGCGGGAGCTTGTGTCAGCGGTTTTTTAAAATTTTTTCTCAGTTTGCGCATGCGCATAGGTGCTCATCCGTAGAATGGGGGGGGCGAAACTACCATGGTGCGTGTGCAGAACCACCAGGGCGAATCAATCCAACTCCTCCAACAAAAGACTTCCCTTTAAACGTTTGACCTGAAAATGGCCTCCGTGAGATCCCAAACTCATCTAAACTCTAAAACAAGTGACTGTTTAAATGTTGGTTTTCTAAACATGGTAGCGGAGCTCCGCCTATGCGCACACCGCCAATGCATTAAAAAAATGGCGGGCGAAAAGTGGAAGCCTCGGGCAGCTTTCAAGCAGGGAGGGGATTTAAACTGGAAGTGGCTTGATACCAGAGGAGCGATCACACAGGGGGGAAATGCAGCTTTAAACGGGAGAGCAGAGAAAACACCACTTTGGGACCTGGTAGCAAAATACTCCGGGCTAAAGTGGTTTTGAGCTGGAAACCAACAGCTGGGGGCCAGGAGGCAGATGTTGACTGTGTGATCGTGCATATAAAGTCCGTTTCTGAAGTGTGACGAAAGCTGATCAAACAGCCCGTCTGAACGTACCCTGTCTTGGTCTATATTAAACGGTATCTGTGAAAAATGAGCAGATAAAGGAGAAATTCTTTTCTGATGGACTGTTTCTGGGCCCACTGTTACAATAAATCTAAGCCTTTCCTTAACAGCATTTAATGCTGCCTTGGCCTTGCTAAATTTTTTCAAAAGTTTAGCTCTACTTAGCATATACTTATTTGCAGTTGAATGAATGCCTCTGGAAATGAAAATTGGGATATACATTATGAATAGTGTGAGCAGGGGAGAAGGTGAATTGACATTTCACCTAAAATGTTATTTGTTTCTGTATAACACTTATCTTCTGCTAAAATTCTACTTATAACAAATTCATTCCCCCAGTTTGGTGTAGTGGTTAGGAGCACAGACTCTAATCTGGGAGAACCAGGTTTGATTCCCTACTCCTTCACATGCAGCTGCTGGTGTGACCTGGTGTCAGTTACAAGTTCTTTCAAAGCTGTTCTCTCACGAGCTCTCTCAGCCCACCTACCTCACAGGGGGTCTGTTGTGGGGAGGGGAAGGGAAAGAAGATAGTAAGCCATTCTAAGACTCCTTCAGGTAGTGAAGGGTGGGGTATAAATCCCCCCCCTCCCCTAATTCCTTAAACTGAAGGAGTTTATATCTGGGACAGCTGATTAGGTCATCAGAACCTGGTATGAACTGCTTTGTGACATGGAGCAGTATCCCAATAGTTTATATACTTGCAGGTGACTACCATTTCTTAAGGATTAAAACAATGCAAGAGTTAAAAATGTTAAAACCATCTTCATAATATGTGAATCAGGACTTGGTGGGTTAGGCTAACATACAGCCTAACAGTTATGTAGGCAGAGGGGACCAATGCTGTCCTTAGGTGTCCCTTCCCATGCAAGTATGCTTTTTGATATCTGAATATTGGATGATTTAACCAAAAATCTGTACTCTCTCTTCTAAGCAGTATTGTGTTTGTCAGCACTGGATGATGAGTTCTTTGATGGCTCATTCTCACATGCCATTGCCAAGTCACCACTTATTATATTCATGTTATATCAAGAATATATATGTTATGATTACTATGAATGAGTGAGCTGACCTTGTTTGTTTAGGCCTTTATTTAGAAGCAGTTGAGATCTACTGAGTCCAAAGACAAGTTTTCGCCCCAAAGCTTAGCTATTCCTTATTTAAAAGCAAGGATTCTATAGCATCCCTTATATACTGCGCTGGGCAGGCAGCAGCTAATTGATGTGTGGAGTCCTGTGCATATTACAGAAGTAGATTTTGTAGTTTATGGAAGCCAGTCAGGGAATGTATTATTTTACGGGACTTCAAGCTGGACATTTCATATGGGAAACTGTTTTTATAAGGCAGGATGGGTCGCTAATATTAATACTTTTAGAAGATCCCATACTAGTAACCAAATTGAAATAATTCTTTTTAAGGATGAAGACTATGTATATATAATGGATGGAAATGGGAACATAGAAGAAAAAGCCAACATGCATAAATCTACAGGTTTGCCATTAACAGCAAAACATGAAAAAATGGGACAAAACCAGAGAACTTCAAGTGTTGAGTTAGATGATGAGCTTGATGACATATGTTTTTTGGAAGCTTCAGAAGATGTGGAACTAGCTGATGCTGTTACTAATTTGCATCCTCACAAGAACTGGGCTGTTGATGAAATACCAGATGAGCTCCTAATAGATGCTTTAAAAAAACAAGAAGTTGATGAAGTGCAGGTGTAGGCCAACAAACAATTAACTTGGTGCTGTCTTGGCACAGTAACAACACATATCTTATAGTTATTAATCTAGATGGGGAAAAGATTTCCTTCTCCATTTCAAGGGTGAGTTTCCCCCTCCTTCCTCCCTATTAACAGCCGTAAAGAGAACTTACTGGTTTGATGTAATTGCACTATCCCTGTAGTCTTAATGACAGTAAAATGAATTCTCATAAGCAGGGCTCAATGAGAAGGCACTGTCTTTTGTTGTATGTATTATTTTAGCTAGATCACATTAAGAACTTAACACTTTTGTTATACACATCAGTATTATCTGCATTTTTCCACAAAAATGATATCAAAATATTTTACACAAAACAAGCTTTATTATATTACCAGTAAATACCTACAGAGAGAAGACGGAGAAGCATCTGTATACAACCTGCCTTCTGTCTTTCCTAAGCCCACCAGGAAAGCTTCTGAAATAATGGAATTTTTCAGAGTTTGATCAGACCTATATCAAATTAAGTGACAGAGTGTTCATTGTATTTCTTGGCATAGTAGGTCTGAAATGACTTAGCCTTCTTAAGTGCTCAAAAGCCTGAAATCAGAATATGAGAAATATACCAATCATACATGCATAAACCACATAAAGTAAAAAGCTGCAGCAATCTGTGCCAAGCTTGTGTGCTAGATACTATGTGCAGTCAGGGCAGTGTATACTAGTCTTCTGGTGTTCTGCAGCTCTGTCAAGTTCAATTGCTATTACTCTGTTTCAATATTTAAGACTAATTGTCCTATTAAGAATTCTGTAGTGTTGTTTGTATTTCATTTTTCTCTATTTGCTCTGTAAATCCAACATTTGTTGTAATTTTGAGTTTATATTTCGAAAGTGACTTTCCGCTCCTAAAATCCTTCGTGATTCCACCAAGAGGGCAGGAAGGCTGTGAACTCCATACTAAAGAAAAAATAAGGGAAAGTGATATTACTTGCAGGACATCACTTTATGAGCTAATTTTCTCACATCTGTTCTGTACTATACATTTCTGTCACTAAAACAGGAAATATCTGCTGGTGTTTTCTGCTCATGGCTCCCAGTATCCAATTCTAAGTGTGAGCAAATTGTTAACATCAGAAATGTATACATTGTTCATGCCTGGAAGCTTATTTGTAATGAAGACCTTTATATCATTAAGAACATGAAAAGAGTGATAGTGATTTTGGGAACCCATCCTGATTCAGGAAGAATAGTTGGTGGACAGTTGTAAGTATTTAAATGGAAGCTGTCATAAATTAAAAGGCCTTTTAGGAGGAATCTTAAGTGAGGCAAATCAGTGTTTCTATCGTGTTTCCCCGAAAATAAGACACTGTCTTATATTTAATTTTTCTCAAGAAGACACACTAGGGCTTATACCACAAATGCACAGAAATCCTGCTAAGGCTTATTTTTTGGGTAGGTCTTCTTTTCGGGGAAACGGTATACTTGTCATTCGTTGTATTGTCACTTTTGTACTTTTATCTGGCTGCAGTCATTAGATGAGATGGCCAGCATTACAGCTCTTCTCACGGCTGTAAGCGAATGGGCACAACTTCAGCACAATCACCTTAGTTTCTGGCTTCAGTGTAAGTATCTGCATATCCTGGGATGTGCCTACCTGCACATGCCAGACATAATACATGCCAAGGCTTGAAGCAGGTGCCTTAAGTACAAAAGCACACAGGGATTAGTGTCTAGGTGTAGGATGAGTAGAGCTGGGTTAAGATTTTTTCAGGCACCTCAAACAGCAAACTCATTACTAGCTGAGATTAAATGTCATTTTTGTTTAGTATCAGATTGTTAAATATGTACTTACAACTACTTTTCCTTGTGGATTTTTCTTCTGGTTACAGACATATTCATGTTGTAGGTCCTTTAAATTTTTTAGTAACTGTCTTGCATTTCTGAGAGATGATATTTTCTCTTTTAGTTCAACGCATTCTCTTTGCAATTTCTTCAGCTGTGGTTCAGTTCTGCAAAACATAAGCATGTGAACATCATACCTTGATTCATTGTTTTTTGCAAGTTACTTTGAACTAGTTCTTATGACATCGTACATTACAGGTATAAAATTAGTGACCTAAAATCCTGGCATTCTCACCCAGTGAAAGAGGGCAGGCTACTGTGGACTTACTCTACCAGGGGATTCAGTCTGCCTGTTTTGGCAGAAATTCTTCTCCTTGATCTCTTAAGTAATCCAAAAAGGCATTTAGTAGATCTGTTTAGTTAAATAGGAGTTTTTTTAAAAAACAAGAAACTGAAGAAGTTCCTCATTGTTTTACTTGGAGGTACATCTTACAAAAGAGCCACAAAGGAGAGAACAGTTACCTAACCCAGAGTTTCTGTTTATCAATTAATACATAACATAAATAGAATTTATTCTAAAGTGAATGTTATGATGCAACTCATTACTGAATAGAATCAGTCGTGTATATATGTATATATCAGTGATGTATATGTGCACACTGGTCCCCATGCTGTATGGGAGATCCTCTTTAGCACGTATTCCCTAATCCTACATCCCCCCCCTCCGTCACCCATCAATTTCAGGACACTATAACCTATTAGTAGCTCTGTCTTCTTCAGAAGGAAGAAGATTAATTAAAATTGGAACAAGAATTTTCCACTCCTATCTTGTCTGTGGTACTGCTTTCCGGCAGTACTAATTGGCACAGACCATTATTAAAAGTAATGATACGAAGTCTTCTTTACATTCTCTGTCTAAAGCGTAAACAAAACTACACATTAGAGGTTATCTGATGTAATATTGTCACACAAGTGAAAACATACCTAATTAGTTCTTCTTTAACTTCTATCAAACGAAGCCTTTTCTTATTTATCTTTCCAACCATCTGTAATATAAGTTAAAACATATTTTTAAAATTTGTAACCCAAACACAAAATATTAATTGCTTAATTATCCTCCCAGTGGTGTTCTATTATAGAGCATTCACTGCTCATTAAAGTATAACTGACACATTTTTTACATTAAGGTATTTTAGTAGGCTTTGCTTTCTAGCAAACATTATCCAAGTTATGGAATTCAGTAGTGACTAAATTACCTTTTCTGTAACACAGTCTTCATATTCAGCAGGGTGCTCTGACTTCCCAAAGAAATCAGTGGCAAAATTCATACTGATTTTAAACTAGAATGTATCTGCCATGCATTAGAATTAGGATACTAAGATTAACTCTAGGCAAATTTGGTTTCGTGTAGTGGTTAGGAGCACGGACTCTAATCTGGGAGAACCGGGTTTGATTCCCCACTCCTCCACTTGCAGCTGCTGGATAACCTTGGGCAAGTCATAGTTCTGGCAGAACTGCTCTCTGAAGGACAGTTTTGGAAAGAGCTCTCTCAGCCCCACCTACTTCACAGGGTGTCTGTTGTGGGGAGGAGAAGGGAAAGGCGTTTGTAACCCGCTCTGAGACTCCGAGTGAAAAGTGGGGTATAAATCCAATCTCTTCTTCTTCAAATCCACTTGTCATTCCAAATATGAATACACTTTCCGCAATAGGAACTACATATGTAAAAAAATTCATCATGGCCATTTGGTCCTGGAATTTTATTTTTAAAGAAAAATGGCGAAGAGATTGTTTCCAATTCTGACTCGAAGCGCTGACAAAAACCGATTATATGGGAAGGCAGAGAAGGAACCAATATTCAATCTTACAATAAAGAGATCATGACTAACAAGACTGAATTTAAAAGGTGATACAAATTGGTAGGAAATGTTAAGAATATTAGAGAATTGCAGTTACTTTGGTCTCCCATGACATTGGGAGTTTGATGTCATTATGGCTCAAACTAGGCTCACAAGCTTCCTCCAACCACCCCTTGTTCAAAGTTGAAGACCAAGGTCTTCAATGAATTCCAGTTTGTCCTCCTGAAATCATATGTCAGCACTTAATAAACTGAGGTTTATTTGTTAGGAGGCTACAACTGGATGTCTCAACAAATGGGAGTTAGCTAAAGATTTGTTTTTTTATCTTAGTGTGCTATACAAGGGGAGGTGGGAGAGAGCTTGTGAGCTTGAATCTAGCTCACAAGTTATTTAGCAGTAACAGGTATCGTTGAACAGATAAGATGTGCTTCAGAGAAATGGGGCCTGCTAATTTAGTGGGCCAACCTGTTTAAGGAGTGCCTAGCTATTTTTTGCAGCCTAGAGTTGTCCAAAATGATGGATGAAAGGGGATGTATGCATGTGAGATGCTCTTACCACCACTCAGCTGTGTAAAACCTGTAACTAAGCATCTGCGCCACCTTTCTTGCAGGTAAGCTTTAAAAAACCCTTTTAAGCCTAAACTGGCCCACGCACTCAAACTGAAGAGTATGAGCCACTTTCCCTTTGGCTCGTAGCTTGTGGCCCTGGGAGCTAGTGCAGCTGAGCTGCCATCTGGGGAGGAGACCTTAACTCGTACTTGCTCTGGGGGTTGTATGAGAGTGTGTGGGGCCTGAGTGACATCTAAGAGGGGCCATCTGAGCCAGGCAGATCTTTGTACCAGGTTATCTCTGGGGAACACTATTCTATAGTCTGTCTTTACTTAATTTGTACTTTGGTTACACTGCTCATTGTGTTCCTGTAAGCTGGCTTTTTCCCCCTCCAGGAGAAAAGTGTCACAATTTAATACACAAAAAACTTCAGATTGAGGTACATTCTATGCAATTAAAGAAAATCCACAATTATTTACCTTTATTCTTTTCAACTTTGTTTTCCTGAATTCCTCAGCTCCTGTGCTCTATTTAAAATAAATACCCATTAGCTTCAAAGCCTATCTCAACCCACTTCATCCATTAATATGAGTTTTCTATTATTTTGAAGTTAGACTATGTAGGATTCATACCTTCCAGCTGTCAGGTCCCTAGGAAATGATAGCCAGTATCCAAAAGTATTATATTGTTTGCTTTCCCAAGATGAGATTTCTTCCTTTTTATAGTATATACATAGTTATATAACAGCTTTCTGCACCCTCACAGTTCTTTGGATCAGATCTAGCTGGAGGAAGACTGGCCTCAGAGGCTGGTTAGATAGGGCAGGAGCAGGCAACTGACAAGCAGAATGCAGTCAGCTAGGGAAAAGAGGTAGTCACAATGGGAACACAAAGTGGTCTGGCTCCTTTCAGGGGAGAGACAGTTGGGCATTTCTGGGCTTTGGATCCATCTGCCTCCCAGGACCTCCCTTGCAGACAACTGCGGTGCAAACAAAGCTCTTGCAGCTCTGGCAAACACCTCTGTAAGCTTGATGCCTGGCCTGAAATCCCAAGACTCTGGGGCCAGAACCAAATTCCTCACCAGGGCCCAGGAAAAATTATGGCATCTTGTTCAATCACAGTCATACCTATTACATAACTGTTAGAAAGTTTTAACAATTTTCAGCATTTTACAAAGAATGGAAAGACCTCTTGCTTTGCTATTTATTATCCCCAATCGAGAATCATTGCACATTAGATGGGAATACTGAAGTTTTTCATAACTTCAGTTGAGGATGTGAAAGTATATAGTTATCCTTTCAAAATGTGATGCATGGTATACAATAATTCATTATCATACTTAAATTTAGACTGCTTTTACAATTGTTTGGAAGTGTAACCTTTACAAGTGTACCTAAAGATTTCAACACAAAAACGTTCAAAGAATCCTCTCTCTTCTTATATATAAAAGAGTTTTCCACACGCCCCCACAGCCTTTGGGTTCCTCAACTGCCAGTCAGAAAGGGGCCACTGGCTGCATTGCCTTCATCCCGCCCACAGAAGTGCCGCCCAGCCTCTCGGCCACAATGTGCTGAGAGCTGATGGACGGGCAGGATGCTCCAGCAGGTATTTATTTATTTATTTATCGTACTTATACCCTGCCCTCCCCCGTGGGCTCAGGGCGGGTTACAGAGGCAAGAACACTTGCCATGGTAAAACAATCATATACATAAGGGTCCGGAGGGTCTGGAGACTGAGCCCAAGAATGGTGACGTCATGGTGGTGCCACACCCTTGCTTGGCCTGCGGGTCCCAGAGGGGGATATGGCGCCGCCGCACCTGGGCTTGGGCGGCAGCACCGAGAAGGACTCCCTCGCTCGCCACTGCTCCACCATCAGGTAGGGCAGTCGCTGGGAGGTGGCGAGCCACAGCAGCCAGGAGGCGCCAGCAGCGCCACGGCCTTGCTCGCCCTGCGGGCCCCACAAGAGATCATGGCGGTGCCGCAGCCGACAGGAAGCAGTGCTGGCTTCCTCGGGCCACAGGCCTGAGAAGGACTCCCTCGCTCACCGCTACTCCACCACTGGGGAGCTACAGCGGCAAAGGCTTACTTGCCCTCTACGGCCAGCAACGGGTCAGGGTGCCACCGCACGTGCAGTGACTGCCTCGGCCCACGGGCCCCGCCAGGACTCCCTCCCTGGCCGCCACTCCAGCGCCTGGTGGGTGCGTCCCTCGGAGCCAGGGCACTCTCCTTCGCCAGGGCGTGGAGGAGGGGGGGGCTCAGGCAGCCTCTCTCTAGAGCTCGTTGCATCTCTTTCTGCAACGGGACTTGAGACGTGTGTGTGTGTATGTATGTATGTATGTGTGTATATATATATACATACATAAAATTCCATTACATATTGGCCATTTCCAACTCTCCCATTGGCTGTGCAGTGTGCTCCATCAGCCATTGGCCCATCACCTGCCACTCAAGAGTACCCACATGCCATTGGCTGGGTGCTGAGACCACTCCTCTCCCCCACCCACTGCCAGCCTGGACACTCTTCCCTCACAGAATAAACTATCAAAATGGCTGTGTGGGACTAACTTTTCCCTCAGTGGCTGTTGCTAGGCCACCAAGCTTGATTCTGTCAGTGAAAACGCAAAGGAAGGAAGCACTTTCCAGGTCTTTGTGGGGAACTCATTGGGACCAGTCCTGACTAGGGTTGCCAGCTCCAGGTTGGGAAATTCTTGGATATTTTGTAGTGGTCTATGGAAGCCAGAGGTTGGGGAGGGGAGAGGCCTCAGCTGAATAGAATGCCATAGAACCCACCCTCCAAAGCAGTTATTTTCTCCGGGGGGATCTGTTGTCTGGAGTTCAGTTGTGATACCCGGCAATCTTCAGGCTCCACCTGGAGGTTGGCTACCCTAGGCGTAGCAGTTAGCACTTCGGAGTAGGGTCTGCTAGACCCAGGTTCTTGCTGTGGAAGTTGAGTGGGTGATTTCAGACCAGTCACAGATTTTCAGCCTAACCTACCTCACAGGGTTGTTATGCAAATCAAAAGGGGGAGAGGAGAATGATGTGAGCTGCTTTGGTCACCACTATGGAGAAATACTGTACTTTTCCTAGGTAGAGGCTACAGGAAGGGAGGAAGAGATGGAAACTTGAAGTAGATGGGCAGATCAGTATGTTGATGGTTGGCTGGGAAGGAAATAGGGTTGCCACCTCTGGGTTGGGAAATTCCTGGAGATTTGAGGGGTGGAGCCAGGAGAAGGTGGGGTTTAAGAAGAAGTGGGACCTCAGACAGGTATAATGTCATAGACTGCACCCTCCAAACCAGCCATTTCCTCCTGGGGATCCCTTGCTGCCATTCTCCAGGTGAAGGCTGGCGATTACTCAGAATTAAAACTGCTCTCCAGACGGCAGAGATCAGTTCCCCTGGGAAAAATGGCTGCTTTGCAGGGTGGACTCTGAGTCATTATATCCTGCTGAGGTTGCTCCCCCTCCTGCTTGGATCCCCAATGAGGAGGGAAAAGACTGTACTTTCTCTAGGTAGAGGCTCCAGGTGTGGGGGTGAGATGGAAAAGTGAAGTCAGGGGCATAGATAACGGTATGTTGACGGTTGGCTGGGAAGGAGATAGGGTTGCTACCTCCAAGACAGGTACAATGCTATAGACTCTACCCGCCAAACGAGCCATTTCCTCCAGGAAACCATTGTTGCCAACCTCCAGGGGAGAGCTGGAGATCACTTACAGTATTGATGAGCTGGTCTCTGAAACCAATATAAAAGCTATCAATAGCTTTCCTACATATTTTCATCTCCACTCCCTGTCTGAAAAAGGAAGAGCAGACACACATAAATCAGTTTTTTCTTTGTTACCACAAAAATGACAAATCTATTCATACAATAGGATATGCAATCTAGCTTTTGAACTTTCAACTATTTCCATCACCTCTTTTCAACATTTACTCAGGTCCAGTACTGAAAAGTTAATTATAGTCAACTATTATTTTAAACCTTGTTATTACTGCTCATCAGTTATATCTACTGTAAATCTAAGAGTATTAAACCACAATTTTTAAAAATCTAATTCATTTAGCTTTGTTTTGATCCTTGGACAGTGGATGGAGTGTGGAGAAGAAAATGAACCTTACAGATTAGTGCAGAACTGTTCTCTGTGTACCCAAAAGCAACAGAAATTAAACCTGTAGCTTGAACAATAGATACAATCAACACAATTACTCATAGAAGTAAATTGTACTTGGTGCACTACAGAAAACCATAAAGTTACCACATATACATAAACTATAACTAGGCTTGTTCCTATGAGACAAGGGAACCCCTAAAAGAAGCAGAATACTGCTGAAATATTAATGATACATATAACGACACAGAGTGCATGGATTCAGCTATCAGGTAAAAACTTCTGAAGTCACCCAAATGGAAATGTTCAGACATGGTTGAAAGAGCATGTCTTTCTGTGCCCAGCCAGTAACCGTGCCCTTAGTATTTAAAGACTCACTAAACAACCCTCTCCCAAATGCAGCCTCAGCTAAGGCAAAGGAGTCAGTTTTGAATTGCCTAATGGAGATGCAGAGCAACACCCAAGTGGTGCTTACAAATTTCCTCAAGGGGTACTCTTTCTCACAGAGTGGCAGTCAGGGAAGCTGTGAACACAGTAGTCTAGGATATCCCCTGGGTGGGCATTATCTTAGCCACTATGGTAATGTCAACATAGACATCTTGTCTTCCAATTAATTGAGGCAAAGGTAAGCAAAAAAGGGTCCCACGTTGTAGAAGGGGCTTGGTGTGGTCAATGTAGAAGGGGTTTGGTATGGTCAATGTAAAACTTGAGAACTTTACAGACATGCAAGGTATGTCTTTCCCATTCCTCAGGACGAATGGATTTATTTTATTAAATTAGATTTACTAGGCCACCCTTCCCTAGAAGTGGGGCTCAAGTAGGGATGTGAGCAAGAGGAAGATAAAACCAGATCCTAAGCTCTAGGGAAATTTGAATTAATCTCTGTAATGAATGAGTTATCTAGCCAGAAAACAATCCCTCTGGAAAAAGCAAAACTCTTGCTCAACCAACAATACACCTGGTTTTGAGACACTGTATGCTGGAGTAACAGAACTTCAAAAAAGTGAAAAAACTTCAAGAAAGCAGAAAGCTTGAGTAGAGCCTGCAGAACCAAACTGAAACTCCATGAGGAGATTTGAAACACTACTGCAGGGAAAACCTAGGAAGCAACTCTGAGGAATTTTTTTTAAGTAGAAGGTGGCAGAGATAGCCTCCCTTTTTGTCCCAGGAAGGATACCCAAGACTCGCCCTGTCCTGAAGCATGGGGTGCGCTGGGTCACCATCTCCGCACGCCTGGGAAAACCTGCAGAGCAGCTTGCCCATTTCCTACCTCTGGAGTTGGTCAAATAATGAAAAGCACTTGGTTGGCAGCCATTGCTATTACTTATCCATGCAATCAAAGGAGAGGAAAGCCAGTATGACAATCTACCCTCCAGCAATGCTTGGCTTCCCAGTGGTTGACAGTCCCAGTCATGCCACCCTTCCTGGTGTGTGAGAAGGTATGTGACCATGAGTGCCCAGCCCACCCCCCCTGGAAGCTGCTAGTATGGCAAGGTTGAGGTGGTTAATGACAGGATGGGCTTGGCCCAACAGCTGAACTCTGGAGATGAAATCTCTCCAAAATGGAGAGGGGGAGAGTGAAGGGATGTGAACCCTGGCCTTTCATGGTTGATCATTTCTCCCTCCGATTCATATGCTGCCTGAGCCAAAGCTGACAGTTCCCTCTGAGGAGAATGGGAATTCTAGGCACTTTTTCTGCTAAAATGCTCCTGAGTGTCACGTCTTTCTGAGGAGTACAGACTCCTCTAGCCCTTGGACTGGTCCTGGATTTGGGGAGGGGAACATTTTCTGATTTTTGCAACATTAGGGGAGTGCCAGAAAGGCCACAGCATCCTCAGCCTGTCCATTCCCACCTGGCTTAAAGACAGTGAAGCCACAAGAACAGAAGTAGAATTCTTATCACCCTGTTCTTTGAATCTTGTGGGCCTCTTGGAGAGTTCCACAGAAATCCTGCCTCCCAATCCAAGTAGGAAAATAACTAGAGGTTTTCTCACAGGAAATGGTAAATTCCAAGGAGGGCGAATTTCCTGTCTATGAGAGGAGAATACAGGATAGTTCTTTTCTCATCACAATAAAACAGCACCACAGCAAAAAACTTAACCCAGGAACAAAGTCAAGGCAAAGTAATGTTTTAAGATGATGCTGTTCTACTGATCAACCTATCAGCCAATGTTTTAGGCCACAAGGCAAGATGCTTACTTGTACTGGGCTGTTATTTTCTCAAACTCATCCAGAATAACATCCGATTCTGTGACACGCCTGGAAAACCCATTGGGGTGCCAAATCTTTATTGAATATGTGGTATCACCATCTGGATCTAAATAAAGTAGTAACAGGTTTGGTATCAATTGTTGGTATTACAGTGCCCTTCCTCCTTCCACTATGAAAATGTAAGAGGGTAATCTAAAATTTATTAAAATTATTTCAGATGTAAATATAAAGAAATTTCTACCTTTTATAACATTTTATATGACAGTGAAAAGAAAAAAATATTCATCAATATGCAATTGTAATTTAGTAAGCTAACAGTATAACTTTTATGTCCTTAATACAAGCATTATTTTAATCCTGAAAAACCTTCAGTGGATAAATACCGTGCTGTGACTTCCTTACCAATGTTCTGTGCCTTCATCTCTGGCGAAGATCCCTCCTCTTGCTGCACAGGGGATTTAGCAGTCATTCTAGGCATCTGTTAACATAAAATGGAGAAACTTGTTTGCCAGAAGAGTTTTGTAACATCAGGAAGTTGCAGCTGTTGAAATCTGCTTACATCACCACCATTTTAAACTGCAGTTTTACCTAATTTTAGCATGTATATGAGTTTAATGAGTGGAGTGCCAGAGGACCATATCTGCTTATTTGCAATAGTACTGACTAGCATTGATATCCATACACTAGTGAAAGCATCTCTAAAAAACAAAAACTAAACTGGGACACTTGATCTGCTCCTATCTGACAGACACAAGCCCAAGTTAATTATGAAGAGCAATTATTCTAATTATACTCCTTAGCTTGCCACCTTCCCATACACAAGTTTCTTATATTCATAGCTTCTGGGAAGCCTGAAACCATGAAGAGAATCACCTCAGTCCAGAGAACTGCAGATTACCAGAAAACTATGTGCATGCTGCATTGACACAGTACACACGCTTGTGTCCAAACCAAAAGTCCACCAGACTTTTGAACACTTGGAAAACTAGATCAGTGAGAAATGCATTGATTTTTATGGTGGTAACATGTTTTGAAAGCTCCATTCCTAGACAGGAACCTCATACTGTGTTTCTTAGGAACTGCATCCTGATTTCAGTCAGGTGGGAGAACAAATTCAGAGTCCAGTGGCACCTTTAAGACCACCAAAGTTTTATTCAAGGTATGCTTTCATGTGCATGCACACTTTTTCAAATATTTTCAGGCTCATCTATCAAGCTATCTAGTTTCCAGGTGTTCAAAAGTTTGATGGACAGGAAACACACCAGCAGTACAATTATGTATGTGTAATCATGTGAGTTACATTATATGCAGCAGTTTGGACGCAAGAACTTTTCAAATATTTGGAAGTTTGCATGCGCGTGAAAGCTCATACCCTGAATAAACCTTTGTTGGACTTAAAGGTGCTACTGGACTCTAAATTTGTTCTGTTGCTTCAGCCCAACACATCTGGATCTATCAGTCATGTGGGGACATTAATAACAGTTTTCTCCATTGAAGTCAGCTGCTCTGAAATTTCAGCTAAGGTATGCAAAGTCATACAAATACTACACCATTGTAACATTATACAAATAAAATATATGCATTGACTCCAAAGCTAATAAATTTCCAAGCTTCAACATATTGCTGATCCCACCCCACAAATAAACTGAGGGCTTGCTCTTACAATCGCATACATACCATATTCTCTTCTACCAGTTCTGGTTCAGAATCTTCTCTCATCACTCGCCTTGATTTTATGGGAAGCTGATTGTTGCTGGGGGGAAAAAATAATATAATGCAATATATTCTAGCATTCTGTTGTAAATATTAAAATGTCAAAATTTCAGCTGCTGAAAAGGGGCATAGTTAGAAATAAAGAGGCAGCACTATTGCGCTGGTAATCAAATTATGTACAAACTGAATTGCTTGTCATGTATGCAAACCCACTTGCTTCAGGAGTCTCAACAGGTCTACTCAGAAGCAAGCTCCATTTAACTCTATGAGGCTTACTTCCAGGAGTGGAGACTGTCAGGCAGATTATCAGTTTCTTTCTCATCTACCCCTGAAACAGCAGTCTAGCATAGTTGTACAATTGCCTGATAATATTAAATGCTGAGGACTGGAGCTAGCTGAGTAGGAAACTTATTTGTCCAGCCAAAACATTCACATATTACAATTCAGGAAAAGGACATAGTGGGTGTGTTTGCAGCAAACTGTTTGTAGAACCTCCTACCTTTTCTGTTTGTGACCTCGCTTTGCTACCTTACTGATGGTCACAGGAGCATCAAGTTTACTGTTATCAGATGAACTGCCGATGGACTCATCATGTTCTGAATACTGGTCTTTTTCTACTTCTTCATCTTCATAAATAGACACAGCAGTACTATGCAAGGGTAGATCTACATAAAACAGAAAAACCATTACAGTAATCTGCACCATCTGTTTGTGGGGTTGCTGTTTCTTTTACATGGTTAAGAGAGCAAGACCCAAAAACTGCAAGTACAGGAAAAGTCCCAAGTTCTTGGACCTGAACAAAATCTCATTTCCACATCCCTGCAATTCCAGACTGCATAGATATCACACATCTAAAGTTGTACAAGAAGTCTTGAGCATCATTTCCAATCTCATCCTTCCTGATGCAGACATTCAGCTGGAAGGAGACATACCTGGCCGCATAGCACTGGATTCAAAGACCGGAAAGAAGCCCGGTTGTTCCACATTGCATGTAATATGAGAGTTGGCTCTGAGAAAGTTTTTGTGAAACTCACTTGTACCATCTAAACATCACCTTTCAGAGATAAGCTTGTTTATTTCTTCATTATTGTTACTCATAAACAAATTCAATTAACCGCCTAATTAACTTCATATGTGTAATCAACTAAGATTATTTGACCAGGCAATGGACTCAGTAACTACACAATATTAGCTGAAAACATAAAAGGTGAGTACTAACCAAACATCTCATCAGACTCCTCTTCTTCATTTCCAGGAACCTTCAAAATTCTTGATACATCTGGCATTTTAGGAGGAAGCCATTTATCATGAGTTCGCAACTTGGTTTTACATCCCTGGAGAAGGAAACAGTAAAATGGAACTTGAAACCATCATCTAGCCTAAGGCACTCTCTGCCATGAGAATATCACTTATACATCAAAGGCAATCAAGAATTAAATGAAGAATGATCACGTAAGTAAAACACCACAGAACTCACAAGCTATGATCAATTCAAAGCTCTATATTAAGAAGTAGAAAGTGCTTCACGTGTTTGATTAAAAAAAGAGATGTGTAACTTACTCCTGGTTTCTTTCTTGATTCTTGTTGTGGTTTTTTCTTTGACATCTTATTACTACTGAAACAAGAAAAACAAGAACATTACTTTAAATAATATAACCCCTTGTTTATGTACATGTACCTTTAGGTACTTTGCCCAATATAAAATCTTTAATACACTTGTAACTCTGTGAATGAGAGAGAACCTGGGATGCGAAATGGCCATGGCTATCTCTGTATTTTAAAAGAGGCAAGATAAGTGGTGAACTGTGACTGCCTAACCCACCCACAACCTGAATCTGTGGGACAGAGGGCATGGAGGCTGGTAAGGCATCACATACAGGAACAACAAATACAGCTGCTACCATCATGTCTTGGTTGTCCCTCAGTGCCAGCTAGAGCCTTGCTAGATCAGATTAACCATTTATGTAATCGAGTACACCGCCTCCAGCAGCAATCAGGTTAAATTCATTATCATATGGCATCATATGTAGAATAGCCAAGAGATCCTGCGATTGTCTGGCAGCTGCAAGTCGTAGCTCTTAGCATTATGCACCACTTGGTGGTGAGCTAGGTTTGTTTTTTGGGGCTGAGAGAGCTCTGAAAGAACTGTGACTGGCCCAAGGCTTCATGTGGAGGAGTGGGGAATCAAACCTTGTTCTCCAGATTACAGTCTGCTGCTCTTAACCACTACACCAAGCTGGGTCCCACAGCAGTCAGGTGGTATAAGAGAACAGGAACACATGAAGCTGCCTTACAGCACACCAGGCAGTCGGACTGTAGAGGTCAGTACTGTCTACCAGGCAGTGGCTCTACAGAGTCTCAAGCAGAGGTCTTCCACATTCTTTGCTAAGTGGGATCCTTTTCTAACAGGAAGTGGCAGGGACTGCACCTAGGTCCTTCAGACACAAACTTATTCAGTGGTCTTATGCAAGCCAGCTCCCCCCTGCCTCAGCCCACTAGCTCATCTCCAGCAAAATGGAAACTGTCGCCTTTGGTTACCTAACAAGGCTCTAGAGGAAAAAGTGCTCTGAACCCCTTAAAAGCCCTCTTTACATTCAAGCGGCCAGCCTACGGCAGAAAGCTAGATTAGAATATTTCTCTAGAAGCTGTAGAACAATGTTTGAGTCCAGTGGCACCTTTAAGACCAACAAGGTTTTATTCAAGGTATGAGCTTTCCTGTGCACAGCTACATTGAAATGGAAGTTAGTAGTTCATATACAGATGCCTCTACATATGTGAAAAGGTGCCCTGGTGACTATATATACTTAGCTTGTTAGTGCTGTTTGCAAACAGGTGCCCTGGGGACTATACTTAGCTTGTTAGTGCTGTTTGCAAAACATCTCCATTTAAGTTGTATGCTGATTTGCTGTTCAATGTACAATCCACACGAAAGCTCATACCTTGAATAAATCTTTGTTGGTCTTAAATTTGGACTCAAACTTTGTTCTATTGCTTCAGACCAACACGGCTGCCCACCTGGCTCTAGCTCCAGGGGCTGATAGAGGTATTGATGTGGGTTGCCTTCAAACATACAGCTTCTCCCTTGCATCAAATCTCAGCAGGCACAGCCATGCCAGAAAGAGGCGGTACTACTCTTGTACCACTCAAAGCCTCTCTCTCTCGAGACCCCGCGGCGACGGCGAGGGGAGGAAACAGCGCAGGCCCGCGCAGGCGCCCTGCACTCGTTAGAGGACGGATAGCCACGGAGACGGGAACGTTACGCTCAACGGCCCCGTCAACGGTCATCTACCCTCGCGTCCACCCCTGTCGCCCTGGCAACCCGCGCGCTCAGCGCCCACTACTAAATCCCTCCCCCCGCCTTTCTGTAGCGTTCATTCGCTCCCCGTCAGCAACGCAACAAAAGCCCGCCCCCTAGCCTGGCTCCTCCCCCGCCTCGCTTCAAACAGGCAACCCGCCAGGCCTCCCGGAATAAAACGAACGCCTCCGCACCTGGCCTCTCGCTCGGCTGCCTGAAGAGGCCGCCCCGATACCGGCGACAAGGAGGGGAAATTCCGCAAGCCGGAGCAAGGGTGGGGGGAGCTCGCCTCGAACCGTCCAGCCTGCGCGTTCCCGCCGCTGTAACTCAAACCGCTGCCCCAGCCCCGCCCCCAACGAGCACACGGAAGCGGGGAAGGGGAGTGAGAGGCGCGAGTGGCCGGGGGCGTTGAGCTCCCTTTACCCACAGTCACCTGCGGCGACGCCTCTCGCATGTTCCTTCCCTTCTGCTGTATCCTGGACGCGTCTTGAGTGGAGGGAGACGCGAGTGACGGGAGAATCTCGTGTTGATCTCTCCACCGATCCCCCCCCCCGCGCAGCAGATGGCTCGGTCCAGAACGTCCGGGGTTTTAGAAGAAGCTTTAGCGTGAACAAGGAAGCAATGCCGCCTGGTGGCCGGAGGAGGAACTCCTGTGGTCTGTAGCAGGGAATGGGACCCGCCTCTGTGTTTTCTGACTAGGTTCGCAGGACGATTCGTTTCCGCCGTGAGATCCTGCCTGCGAGATTAGGACAGTGAGCGGAAATGGCTCTTTCTACAGTCTTCCTTTCAAGCAGATTTCAGCAGCCTAACAAAACCATCTTCAACGCCGCTCGGCCATCACACGCCAGAGGTGGAATTTGCCCCTAGGACTCCAAGGCCACCACCCCGGGGGCTCAGAGAGGAGGGGGCCATAACTTTTTAAAGAGCCCCTAACAAGACCTGGGGGGGACGGACAGAATGACCTCCTGCATTCTGTGGCCATGGACAAGGCATATTATTTGATGGTGATGTTGGGGTGACACAATGCAAAAATCATAAGGATCCATGAGGATGTGCTTCAGAACCATGTTTTTGTAGCATGGTGTTGCCACAGAGCCGTGGCATCGTGATTTCTATGGTGCAGGCTGTGGCCAAGGCCATGATATGGGATTTAATGGTATGTTTGGGATGTCCAAACACAAAAATCCCAAACATCCATGAGGATCCGTGCTTCAGAATCATGTTTTTGCAGAATGGATTCACCACGAAGCCGTGGATCCGTGATTTTTTTGGTGCAAGCTGTGGCTGTGGACATGTTATGTGATTTGATGGTGTGTTTCAGGTTACTCAATTGAAAAACCCTGAGGATCCATGCTTTGGAACCATGTTTTCGCAGTTTTGTGATGCCATGAATTCCTGGGGGCATGATTTTTGGAGTGCTGCCTATAAGTCTAAGGCATGGTCTGCAGTATGATGTTAGTTTTATTTCATTTCAGCGTAAAAATCGTATGAATTCATGAGGATCCGTGCTTTGGAATCATGTTTTTGCCCCGTTGTGGTGCCACGAATCTCTGGATGGTGATTTTTGTGGTGCCCCTTGTAGACTAACACATGACCTACAATATGATGGTGGTTTTATTTCGTTACAATGTAAAAATCATATGAAGTTCATGAGGATCTATTTAGATCCGAATTTTACCTGGACCCCTTTGTTGGTTAGCAGCAAAACTAAACGGGAATCTTGTGGCACTTTACAAATTAATTTTATTTCAACATAAAGTTTATGGACAGGAGCCCACTTCTTCAGATGCAATAAGGTTCCTTAGAATGCAGGCAGCGCAGGGTGAAATGTGATGATGTAAAATTCAAACGTAAGCTATAAAAATACAGAGACCGTTAGCTAGTGCCAAACTGCCATCGTTGTTAACACTTGGGAGTCTCACTTTTTACTTTTTTATGTGGATAGATTCAGGTGGGTAGTTGTGTTGATCTGAAGCAAAAGAACAAAGTTTGATTCTAGTGTGACACCTTTAAGACCATTAAAGTTTAATTCTGGGTATAAGCTTTCATGCATGCCCACAAAAGCTTATACCCAGAATTAAACTTTGTTGGCATTAAAGGTGCCACATTGGACTTAAACTTTGTTCTCTTTTTTTATGTGGATTATAGGTTGGCACAGCTCCACCTAGTGGCAAATTCACACAGCAACACCTTTGCAATAAATGGATTCTTATTTTAACTGTGGAGTTTAAATATCTGAAAAAGTGCATTAAATGATCACAAGCGGAATTCATCCAGCAGTTTTATCTTCTTTGTGCCAGGTGCACACATAGTAGTTAAAACCTGGAAAGATGTAAGCATTGAGTCTGTCCCCTTCCCCCCAGTGTGCCTAAGGCATTCTTCATAAGAGCTCACAAGACAGAGGTCTGACTCTTCAAGAGGCACTCAGAATACCTGGGGGCTTGGTTTGCAGGGCTTTCAAACTAGGCTTCTGTCAAGGGAGTTGAGCTTGGAATTAGTGCAAGAGGGAATAAGTGTGCGTCTGTTAGTGCCTGAGGTTGTGTGATTTATGAGCTGCTTGGGGTGTGTCTGTCTGAGAAGCTGCATGATTAAGAATCTCTGTGTGTATAAAGTACCATCAAGTCACAAGCAAGTTATGGCAACCTCATAGGGCTTTCAAGGCAAGAGACATTCAAAGGTGGTTTGCCAGTGCCTGCTTTTTGCACACTGACCCTGGACTTCCTTAGTCACCCATCTACGCACTAACCAAGAGCCAACCCTCCTTAACTTCTGAGACTGGGCTTGCTTGGGCCATCTAGTTGAGGACAAGAATCTATAGCATGAGGTAAATCACTATTTCTTTACTACAGCAACATACACAACTCTCATACCCTCATCCTTCAGAGCCTTCCCTCTCGTGCAAAGTTTGGAAATCAAACTCTCCAACTTTTATGACAAACCATAGCTGTGTTTGAAGCAAACCAAAACTGAAATGGTGGGAATAAACCACACTTTGTGGTTCAGATGAAGCTGCAGTTCAGAATATTCTACATAATTCTGGCCCCATGTGAACGACTTTGCATACTCGCCACTGAACAGTTCCGTGGTCCAGGCTTGCTTTCCCTGTCCCACCCCTGCTTCCATTCACGGCGGTGACATGACCTCCTAATCAAGCAAACTGCAGGGCACTGCGGCAAGAGTCAAGCTTTGCCACATGCAGGTTCTGTCGCTAATGTTTACACGCAAGCCAAGGACATGTTATAGAAAGCAGGTGAGACTATACTGCTGCCTGACCCAAGTAGGCTAAAGGGCAGTAGAAGAAATTGCACATAAATGGTTGACTTACAGGAACTGTTCCGTGAGACTGGCCTAAGGCAGAGTGATCCATGCATAGCAAAGCTAATCTGCAGCTTGAGAGTAGGGATTCTACAGCTGGAAAGCTGTTCAGACTCCACCGTTCATTTCTGTTCAAGGAAGGAAATATGTGTGGCACTTACCTTTGCCTGTGAGGTCAGCATTCCTTAGGGATCTTAGTGAACTGCATTAACTTTCAACATTAAGCAATCCAGCTGTTCAAGGCAGGACTCTTCTGTGATATATCTTAATATAGTGTAGGCAACAGAGTATCCTATAACCATCCCATTACAGAGCAGTTCCCAAGGTTTTCAAGTTTTCTGTAGGCAGATGCCTACAGAGATAGACTCAACACTTCCTCTTTCAATCTCCTAAAGACCCAATTGTTGCAATCAAAACAAGCAGCAGAATAGGTTTAGGTTTTGTGGCTTGTTAGCGTAACTTAATAGTTTTCCCTTTTATTATTATGCTCATCTGACCAAGGGTCTTGAGCAAAGTCAAAACAAATACAAGATAAAATACGAAACAGCAAGCATTAAAATAGAACATGGTGAATTAAAACCCATCTCTGTCGCAACAAAGAAACCACAAGTGCTAGAAATCTGGCAACAGAGTGTGTTATTTCAAGATTGGTGTCTGCTAGCAAAAAAGAGAGATCTCATGTGGCATTTGACAGGCAGCTGATATTTAGCGAGGATAGATGTAATCCAGAGGTCTCTGAGTGGTGTCCTTCAATCACAGAATAAGATGAAGGGATGCATGGTCTGTATTACTCCAGGTGCACAGCAGCAGTCATGGTCAGAATATGGAGTTGTAGTGATACGCCCACCCCGAGTTTTGCAGTTTAGCAGGACATTCAGTCTGCTTGACATAAAAGCACATCTGTGACCAGGTGCTGTAAGGAGGCTTAGATAAGGGAGGGGAATCCCCACTGCGAAAGTAGAGCACACATGCCTTGCATGGGCCTGTGTCCTGGCATGGCCAAACTCAATAACCCCTTTCCTGACCAACTACACAACTCCAGAATAGCCGATATTCCTCAAAACAATGAGAGAAACCAAGGAACATGAACTGATTATCCACACATTTTTCTCATACTTTTCTAAATGAATCTTCCTTCAGAGAATGTAAGACAACCCCCCCCTCCAAGTATTGGGCATGAAAGGAGGGCCTTCAGTCCTAAGTTAAAGAAGAGTTGGTTTTTATACCCCCACTTTTCACTAACTGAAGGAGTCTCAGGGTGGCTCACAGTCGCCTTCCCTTCCTCTCCCCACAACAGACACCCTGTGGGGTAGGTGGGGCTGAGAGAGCTCTGAGAGAAGTGTGACTGACCCAAGGCCACCCAGCAGGCTTCATGTGGAGGAGTGGGCAATCAAACCCAGTTCTCCGGATTAGTCTGCCGCCCTTAACCACTACACCAAACTGGCACCTATCCAAGGTCACCTAGGGAGAAGTGGGCAATCAAGCCTGATTCTCCAGATTAGAGTCCACACCTAGGGAGAAGTGGGCAATCAAACCTGGTTCTCCAGATTAGAGTCCGCCATTCTTCAGCACTACACCAAACTGGTACCTGGACGCCAGTGAACACTATGCAAACTCCAGTCTAAGCGTAGTTCTATAACTTAATATCCAGTGCCACAATAGATGTACCCTCCTCCTAGCATAAGAGCGTCAAATATACTGTCAAGGTGCCCTGACCTGGATAGCCCAGGGAAGCCCAATCTTGTCAGATCTCAGAAGCTAAACAGGACTGACACTGGCAAGTACTTGGAAGGAAGACCTCCAAGAAACATCTCTCTGAAATGCCCAAGCCCCTCTAGGGGTCGCCAGAAGTCAACCACGACTTCCAGGCACACACACAAACACAAAATACTCACAAAAAATATACTGTTAAGGGAACAGTCACAGAGAATTCTGGAATACTTGTTCCTATGGATTCTTGAACACTTCCTAGCTGTACAAATTTAAATATAAG